GGGGTGGACATCCACAAGTGTGAAGTCAGCTCCACCTGAACTAGCCGGGTCCTTTATTTATAACAGTCAGCCACATTTCAGCCTCAGGAAGAAGTCCATGTCAGAATACTCTAGCAAAGTAATGCTGCTGTTCTTTTTCTTAACATGGAGGCGACCTAGTTCAGGTGGCCCTGCTCCTGTATGCTCCTTCCTGCTCCCTGAGAGTAGGACTATCAGCTTCCTTGGGACTGATGCATTGCTCACAACCAGCATCTCAAACACCATCGCAGAGGCAGCAGCACCTGAAACTTGATGTGATGAAAACTGCTTATCGAGCTGGATATGGGGTAGATGACCATCCTAAGTGGAAAAAAAAAAAAAAAAAATCTATTTCATCATTTGCCACCTAGAGACGAAAGCTGACATTTCCACCAAAACTGATCTCCACTTCAACACTATTATCTCAAAGCATCCAGAAAATCAGAAATTCCCTCTTACTCATACATGCTATTACATGACAGGAGATAAATGCCCTCAATCAGAGGGAAGGACACACAAATCCATGAGTCTCCATGTCCATCTCATCTGGCTACAGAGTCCTTGACTCCTTCTTACACAAGCCTTAATCCTCATCAGCTGAGGCACTGAAGAGCATCACCCAAATCCAAAGAAACACATAGAAAAGGGGATTTCCAGAGGCTGATTTCAGGGTCTAGTATCACCTGTAGACAAGCCCCTCCCTAACCTCAAGTTGCAGAGGGCTATGAAGACTACCTTTCATAGGCCACTTGAGCCTTTTTAAATATTTGTTCCTCTATGCCCAGCTAAACATTGCTATTATGGCTCCCAGTTAAATACACAAATATTCTCACACATACTGTAAATGCTCCAAATCACTGCAGCTAACAGGCTGATCCCTGGAATACTATAAATTTATTTAAATTCCTTTACATGTGATGAGAAAGAAATGTGATTTAAGACAGGAAGAAGCCTTCCTTTGATACGATATCAGAACAGAAATACAGTGTCCAAAGCTAGAGTAACATAGGGGATTTTGCAGAAGTCAAACCTAATGACACTAGTCTTGCAAGCAAAAACCTAGGCTGACACTTTGATTTAAAAAAAAAAAAAAAAAAAAAGTCAAAAAGTGCAAAAAAAAGACGTAGGTCAATCAAGTGTTCACCTACCCCAAACCATATGAAAAGGATAAAAGCAACTATTTTTTTAAACAATACAAAAAGAATATGGCAAAGGCACACAATCATGAAAAGACAAAGAAAGAAATACATATTCATATATATAAGAGAAGTCTATACTTGTATTATCTACGACAAGAGCTTTTGTATTTCAGGATATAAATAAATATGAATTTACAATATGGAAATGGTTTCTTGCAATAATATATACTGTTTTGGAGGAGCAGCCCTTATTTTTATCTTGAATATTTACAGTTTTCCATCGTGTCCTAACAAAAAAGTTGACATTTCCACCAAAAACATGTCAATGGAGAATAAAGATGTATCCCTACTACTTTGCAATCTCCCTATTTAGAGTTTTCAGATGTTAGCAGAAATGAGCCTGATGAGCATCATTCCTCCATCTGAACAATCTGGTATTGGCCTCCATTGGAACAAGGTTACTAAATTAGAGGAGCAATTCCTATGTTTTCACATCTGTTCCCCTTAAAATTTATGTATAATTCAGTACCGACTATAAAATACCTTATGAAGTCTCCTTCCAATGTGTAAACATTATTTGTTGTCAACTGAAAAAATGTTCTGCGATTGCCATTGGGTTTATACTGGCTCCCTCTGCTGGCTAAAATGCACAAAGTGTTGTTGAGATTTTTTTTTCTCTTTTCCATAAATTGTAGTAAGTAAAGAACAGCATAGCACAGAAAAACTTTATTTTATAATCCACCCAGGAATGTTTGCCAGTTCAAAGCTGACTACAGCAGCATTAATATTGACAATCCAAAGGATTAAAAAGAGAAAAAAGCCATACACCATAGAAGGAAAAAAAAAAAAAACTATACATCCTTTAGAAGGAAAACAGGTATGCTGGAGGAAGAGAATACAAAAGAAATACCATTTGGGGGTCCTATTTAAGAAGAACAGTTTATTTTATGTCCATAATTTTGAAGGAGATTTGGGAAGCTATTTTGGCACTAGTTTTAAATATTTCTATTAGTGTCTAACCTTCCATATATTACATTTAGGTAATAATTACGTAAAATATTTTTAAATATACTGATAATACATCTAAATAGATTTTCAGATGTTCTTTGAAAGCAGTTCAAGGACATTTTTTAAAAGTTTATGGGAAATTTCAGCATGAATTATTCTAACTTTTAGCAATGAGTGAGTTTGGAAGATGGGAATTTCTTTAGTAATTTAATATCTGCACCCATACAAAGCTGCAGAAAAGCATCAGTTACCTGCCTAGCTTCGAAGATTACTTTTATCTTACAAAAATAATCAACCAACCATCATGAAAAATAGTATAGCCAAAGAAGCAAATAGCTCACAAGTATCTTGGAGTAAAACACTGTAATATTGCCAAAATAGCGCTTGTTTTTCCAGCTCTTACTTCCATTGTATTGATTTTAACTTTGACATTAGAGAAGAATTACAGTAAAAGTTTCAGTCACAGGGCAGAAGTTTTAACCTAGCCTTGACTACAGAATTTGGTATTTGTAAAGGAGAGACACTTTTCTACATCTTCTACATCTTTCTTATCCTGCCTAAAATTTCAGCTGAGGATGAACTGACCTGTTTCCCCCCTTCCAAACTGAGATGAGATGTCAAATTCCTCCAAATTCAAGTTCCTATAAAATCAGTCTTGGTTTTGTTCTCACCCCCCTCCAGTTCTGTGTTCACTTTCACTGAGAAGACGACAAATGAGGAATGTATAAATCAAAAGAACAAAGTAGGCCCTGACAGTCACAGACTTCTCCTCAGTAGGTTACAACTTAAACACACCTATAAATAAATAAAATATTTCTCTCATGTAGTATTACCTCCATTTAGGCTTTGTTCCCCTCAGTTCCTTCTGGAATTATTTAAATTTGCGTTATTTTGAACAGACAACCAGAATATAAAACAGAAACAGTCCCCAATGAAATTTCAGAATTACACATTCAATTTTTTCCACAAGGCTCTTGTGATGATGACTGTAAGAAGTTTTACATATCCAAAGACGCTATCAGTATTTAACCTGCAACTGAAGCAAAAAAGGATGCTTTAGATCATGCTCAGATTTAGAATTTATGCATGTTGCCCAGCAAACAAGACTTTACACATTGTACACCATACCCCTACTCTTTCTTTATCAGTATAGAAAGTCAACTGGACTTTCATTCTTTAAAGATACGAACACATCTTCCAGCTGATTTCAAATTCATCAGCTATTGACATTGTCCAATAACATCTCAATCATTTTCTTGGGGGGAAAAAGAAAAGAGAGAAAAAGAAACAAGTGATCTACAATGTAATGAATCAGATTGTTAACACCGTGTATTTCTAGAGAGATGTCAGTGAGCATTTCTGTAACTTTCTTCACAATTATTAAAAACTTATTATTACTATTATTCCTATTATCAAATTTGTAGAGAAGAAATAGTCTGTCATTAGGACCAAAATTTCTTAACAATAATTTCAATGATTAGATGAATCACACCTAAGTTTGCAGAAATTCCATCCTGCAAGAGTGTCAACATTATAATTTTGTGGCAGATAGAATCTTTCCACCTGCAAGCCTGAGCTCCTGCTCAACTAAAAAAAATTGTCATGAACATAAAACATTAAGAAATAGCATTTTCTTAATGCAGTATTGTACATTTTTCTCTTGCATATACCCTGATTGTATTAATAAACAGGCCAATGGGAAAAGAACAGCAAACAAGATTGCATAAATCTGCAAGATTTCCATCTCCTGATTACCGAAGAAGCGGTTGCAAGCTGTATTTGACACCACATGGCTCACAAGAACATCTGCAAAAGGCAAGTATGTTTTTGAAATGGAAGAAGCAGTGACAGGCACAGGGTGGGAAACACCAGTGCAGGCAGTACAGACCCTTGCCATCAGTGAGAAAAGCAGGGGCCTATGATCAGCCTAGTTTTCCCTCAGGCTTCCAAACACATCACGTTTCCCTGCCAAGCTCCTGTCACCCACTGGCAACCACATTAAGAATGGTCTACATCTCTGTATTACTAGAACAAGCTAGTTTTAGTTATAGAAATGTGAATTTGGCAATATTGCTACAAACATACACAAATTGCACAAATCAATTACTATTTGGAAAACAAACTGGCTTATATTTATTGATGACCAATTATATGGCAGAATACTTAATGACACCTTAGCATTTGCAGAACATGCAAGTTGTGCCAACAAAACATATAAACTCAAGAGTCTTGTTCATCTACCTAGAGCTCTTTAGCTGATGCCTCTGAACTGATGAGTTTGCCGTGTATGTAACACACACCCATAACTATCAGCTGCAACAGATGAATCCTTCAATACAGCTTTAGGATGAGATGAAGAATGGAACAATTCATTTAAAAAGACATTAAATTTACAGAAGGCTGGAGCTATTAAAAGAAGAAAAGATAACAGAATAAAAACTGCACTCTGATGCAGCTGCAACTCACATCTGAGTCCTTCAAGAACTAATATGATAAAAGTTGTTGATAAAACAACCTCACTGAAGAGACTTGTGATAGATTTGGAATTGAATCATGCAGATCATTAGTTAAGCAAGTTGTTTCCTTTCAAAAAAAAATTTATTTTGCCAGCTTTCAAGAATATTGTCTTTCCATTTTTCCACATTTTTCTGGGAAAGTTTATAGTTGTTTTCATATTAAATATTTTTCACTTATGTGTTTCCCAAATTAAAAGTATTACCATATAAGCAATCACTTGATCTTTATTAATGTACAGCATAACATGTGTTGCTATAACACATTTATGTGCATGCAACTTACCCAAAACCTCTTTCAACCCAACTACAGAATTCCTACCTCATGACAGGAGAAGAGCCGAACTCCTTCCATCTGATGGAAGACTGGGTAGTGGGTGCTATCAATTGTATCACGGCGGTAGACATCTCCCACTGCCAGAAAGGCATCTAGGCCGGAGTGTATCAAGTCCCACTGATGAGCTGATGTATGTGCTCTTAGCATGTGATCACGATTCAAGTAATAGTTATCCTCTTTCCTTCTGCTGGCATGGTTTTGTGGGATAAGCAAACTATCAAAATTCTGCTGTACTGTAACCACTGGAGAAAGACTGTCATAGACAGAAAAGAGCGGAGTCCCACGGCGTCCTACATATTGTTTGTAAAAATGGTCCTTTACCTGCTCCTTGATTAGCCACAAAGGGTGATGCTTTTTGTTGTGCAAGTTCTTCCCCACCTTGGAAAGAATCTTCTCTGTGACATTGCTGTAGTCATCCTGAGGATAAACTTTACCAAGCAGTTCCACAGTATTTGAGCAGGGTGTGTTGGCAGAAAAATCTGAAGGTACAGACTTGGATGAAAAATGTCTTGAATGGGTGGAAATTCCTCTTACCTTTACTTGTGGTGATAAAGCTGTTTTAGTATACTTAGCTACTCTCATGAATTTCCAGAGCATTGCCATTGCAAACTCTTACAATCTAGAGAAAGAAAAAAAAATTAAAAAATGAGTTAGGGACTACAATCTTGCTGCAGGAATTGCTAGCATCTCAGGGATAAGTGAAATCTGAATGTCTGTTTGATTAATATAACAAAATTCCTGTTACAAATAACTATTTTGACATCAGATTGGGGGAAAATATCCTTGTGATCAAATTTCAGCTAGGATATCTTATTCAATTACCAGTCTTCTGCATCACTGCATCAGCATTAAGAACTCTAGACCTAGCCTTAATCCCACTGCAGATACTGCTACTCTTTATAGCTGAATAAACATCAGGCCTTCTTTAAAACAGCCTTTTTCATTCAATTAAAACGCAAGGTAATAACTGAATACTATGTATGAGAAACTCAGATATTTAACAACAGCCTTCGTCAGTCCAGGAGTCGCTCTAATAAAACTCCAGCCATTAACTTACTGCTGTATTGTCTCCCCCCATTAGCAGAAGATACAGAAGGCATTCCGTGTCAACCAGATGTGGGTGGCACACACTATGCAATCATTGCTAATTCTTACTCAATGCCAAACAAAACCAGTTTAACCTTCCAAACCACTGAACCACTGTGAAAAAGCAGATGGTCAGACTACAAGGCAGATATTTATATATAAACAGAAGATTCAGTTCACATATGAGTATTGCACAAGATTCACAGTAAAGATTCCACGTAGTCAGAACCAATGTTAGCATTTTGGGGTGAACACAAACCCCCTTTTCCATATGTTCCCAGAGTGGCTATTTTCACGGCTTACACCACTGTAGGGGGAAGAGAGGTTTGTCAAATATCAGGAAGGTCAACGAAGTGGTAAGACACCGAAAGATACCTGAATTGAACATGTTTCCTATCAAAGGGCTATATTTAGACATTTGCCCTGTTTACAAACAGGCTTTGTGCTTCAGGTGTACACACCTGCATTATTCTGTAGTGTTCAAAGAGATAATTCCAAAAACAAAGAGTTTTGAGGATCACAAGCCCTTCAGTCACCTCAAGTGCATAAGCCCATTCCATGATGCAAAATCACTTGAAAATCTATAGTTGGGCTTCACAAATATTAGCATAGGTTCCAGTAAAATAATTAAGCATGACAATTTGTTTACATTGTAGTTTTGACCCACTCAGCTGGCAGCAAACAAATTCCACAGAGCCGCTCGCTCACCTTGCCCCCTCCCCAGGATTGGGTAGAGAATTAAAGGGGCAAAGGGAAAAGAGACTGGCGTGTTGAGATAAGAACAATTTAATAACTAAACTACAATAACATGGAAAATAATAATAATAATGATAATTGTAATAATAGTAATATATCCAAACATACAAATGAGTGATATACAGAGATACTGCTCACCACCTGATGACCAAGGCTCAGCCTGTTCCTGGCTAACAATCCTGGAGTAGACACAGTCCTGAAACCTCAATCCCAGAAAAAAGACAAGAGTCCAAGTGTCTGAGCACTGACTGAGAGAGAGAAAGAGGGAACTTCCAGAGACCCCCTCACCTATATTCTGGGGATGACACGCATGATATGGAATATATCATTGGTCAGTTTCAGTCTCAATCCTAAACCTAAGGTCAAATCCTAGGCTAGTAACTGGGGCTGTGTCCCTCCCAGCTTCTCCTGCACCTGCAGACACTGGCACAGCAGAGAAGCTGAAAAGCCCTTGACTGTCCTGGCAGCAACTATAAACATCAGTGTGTTATCAGCCTTCTCCTCAGCACAAATCCAAAACACAGCCTCACACTAGCTACTGTGAAGAAAGTTAATTCTGTCCCATCTGAAAACAGGACAACTTATTACAGAATGGGGAAACAGAGGCATTAGAAGTTAAGTGACTGGGGAAAGGCATCTGCCCCAAACAACAAACTGGTTTGTAATTCTCTATGAACCAAGAAATCCAGGGCCACAGGTTTTTTGGGTGAAAGAATTTCCCATGGAATTCTTCTTAAAGAAAGGAGGGAAGAAAGGACATAATTAATAGACAACAGTCTTCAAGGGGTAGCTTTCCATCTTTACACTAGGATTATTTGGCTAGCTTTTCATGGAAACATAAGAGAAACAAGTGTAAAAAAAGAACAAACAAGCTAAGATTATTTTTCATACTCTTAAGCCCCAAAAATATATATGGAAATAAAGTAGATATATTCTAGAATACCGAGTGCCCAAAAAACAGATTTGTAAAAGATAAGGGGTATGTTCATATTTGGCTTCCTTTCTTCCGGCTTACACCTGGATGTTCTTGTTTGCTGAATGTTCTATGATTCTATGTTCTCTATAGGTCTATTTCTGGAAGTAACGGTATCTCAATAAATCAAAATAAAAGATGGGTAGTCAGAAATTTTGGCAGGGCAGCATAAGATACTTGGTTTAATCCTTTTTCTGGTCAAATATCTCAAGAAAAAAAGACCAGCTACAACTTTTATCTAGTTTTTTTTGTTTTGTTTTTTTTGTTTTGTTTTGTTATAATTTTAAAGAGCTTGCAAAACAATTTCACCAAATCAGTTCTTGGCCATTACTGATAAGGTTCTTCCATAAATGAATTCACACACACACACCAGAAACCCTTCTGACACAGACTAAATGAGGGATAGCCTTATGTTTTGAAAAGAAGCTTCATTTTCCCCAAACATACATTCTCCTTCATGGAAAGTGAGTTCTTATTTTCAAACAGCTGCTTGAAATACTCAGTTCTAGTCAGATAACGAATTCAGCTTCCCTTAAGTAAATATCACCATCTGCCCATACATTTATTTTTCTAAGAAATTTGGTTCCAAACTTATACATAACTGTAATGTACGAAAAACTCTCGTGACTTTATCATGAGTCTCGTGATGCTTGCTGCTTTCCTAAATACCATTCCTCTGAGAATCACACAACCATATGAGAAGCTTAACTTTCACATAAACAGTTCTTCTCATTATTATAACTTTATGGAAAAAGAAACTAGAACATGAACCATAACTGTTGGAGGTGGGAAGGGACTTTGTTTATTTTAAGAGACATGATTTCTAAGGGAGACCCTAATGTATAGATCTCTAAGGGCTTACCTGATGATTTTTCAGTATTTGTAATGAGCAACACTGCTATCAGTTTCTGATAGTTTAGAAACGCTAATTTTTCTGAGAAAGTGATATTTACTCTTCACAAACTTGTACAGGAGGAAAACCTACATATGCACTTGTGTCAGAGTTTTCATCCTAACATTATGCCTGTGTCTTAAATAATTAAACTGCATTACTATCTGCACTACTATTCTAATCTAAAGCAAAATCTACCGTGAGCAGTAAGAAAAAAAGTTACAGTTATCAGATGTTATCCAATAAGTTATCCAGTGTCCAAGTACTGCAAACAGCAAACAAGCAGTAAAGGTGCCACTGACATGGTATCACCCAAGAGCACCAAAAACACTGAGGTCCATCACCAACACTCTTCTACTGCCCTCTCCCACCCTAGACTCACATATGCTACTTCCAGGATCATTACAGAAAAATGGTATTGGAGTTAGTTCAACTCATCTGGTGATAAATTACATCTAGGGAGAGAAGCCATAGAGAAGGAAGGAAAAAGCCACATTTACACTCTTTACACTGTACAAGAAACCTTCAAATCAAATAAATGTTTACCAGGCCACAAAGTAGCACTGGAAAATAGAGAATCTCTTTATCTTTCTGCTAGCAATAAATAACTCATATTAAGGATACACTAATTACTTACGTTCACTTGTAATAAATAGACAGTTATTTCTAGTAGACATCGATCTAAAGGTCTGAAAAAGCAGTTTAAATACGTAATTTTCTTCCTTCATTTCCATCATGCTTGTTATCTGGCAGTAAAGTGAAACTGGTTTCTGTGCACACTGACAAAAAACCTGAATCCCACAGCAAAGACTGCCAGCCAGCTAACAACCAGAGCAAGTCAAACAGCAGCTGTACGTCCTGCCATTGAAAACAAACACATAAATGGGAAATAAACGTGGAACGATCACCACTGGCATCTATGAAACAAAGATGGCAAAGAGCTCCACCAGCACTACCAGTGGATCATGTGTTCAGGGCTTGACAGTGGCTCTGACTTGAAGCAGGGAGCCAATGCAGGGCTTTGGAAGCAGGTTGCCCTGCCAGCAGCTCCCAGGGGGGCTTCTCAAAGCATCGCAGGTGGACATGCAAGCACCAGGCTCACCATCTCCTGTTACACAGGTCTTTACCTTGACACTGCCACATTCCTGGGTGTCTCAGCAGCTCCTCTGAGGCTCCCTGGGCTTGTCCCTGTATCTCAATCTCCACAGTGAGAAATCTAATACAACTGCAGGAGCTCAGATCTTTGATAGGGATAATATCATAATGTTATGTTTTGGTAATACACTTGGAACTATGCCTGCATATGGGTACGAGCTTTTGAGCAGCTTCAAGGCAGACCAGAGGGCAGGAGGTGGCACCCATGGCACCCAGGGGTGAAGGCATCAGAACAACCCTGTCTGCACTGTGGATAGACCAGGCACAGATCATGGAATCACACAACAGTGTGGGTTAGAAGGTATCTTAAGGATCATCTAGTTCCAACTCCCCTGCCATGGGCAGGGACACCTCCCACTAGCCCAGGTTGCTCAAAGCCTCATCCAGCCTGGCCTTGAACACCTCCAGGGATGGGGCATCCACAGCTTCTCTGGGCAACCTGTGCCAGTGCCTCACCACCCTCACAGGAAAAAAGTTCTTCCTAATATCTAATCTAAATCTGCCCTCTTTCAGCTTAAAACCATTATCCCCCGTCCCATCACTACACTCCCTGATAAAGAGTGCCTCCTCATCTCTCTTGTAGCCCCCTTTAAGTTCTAGAAGGCTGCTATAACATGTGACCACACTTGCCAGAGTCAGTCCTCTACCACAGACCCTGTGCCATTTCTACAGCAGTTTTGGTTGATGGACGAGGCTCCTTCATCCTCCATGGAAAACCAACCATCAGCCATGCAGCAACGCAGCA